CCAGGCCAGGGCCGGGGCCGGGGTCGCCTCAGGCTCCGCTCGGGGGGCCAGGCCGGGGCCGGCGTCGCCTCAGGCTCAGCTCCGGGGCCAGGCCGGGGCCGGCGTCGCCTCAGGCTCAGCTCCGGGGCCAGGCCGGGGTCAGCGTCGCCTCAGGCTCCGCTCGGGGGGGCCAGGCCGGGCTGGCATCGCGATGGCCAGGCCGGAGGTTGAGGCCCAGAACCTGCCCAGGGTCAAGCAAGGCATCGGCAGCAGGGCGGGAGTAAAACCCGCCTCCTCCACCCCATGAGAGCGCCCTAACCACTGGGCCACCCTCCCCTCTCCTCCCCGGCGCCTGCCATGCCACTGGGAATGGCCGAACCAGCTCAGCCCAGTACCCGGCCCAGGTCTGCCTGCGGTGCCCGTGAGGAACGGAAACGCTGGAGCCATCGATTGTCTCCACCCTGCCCCATGGCTCTGCCCAGAGCTGGTCAGGGGTGAGGGGCACCAGTGGGGCTGGGGGGGGGCAGAGCTGGGTTGGGCTAGTAGGGGGCTGCGAGTTGGGAGTGAGGGGCACCAGTGGGGCTGGGGGGGGCAGAGCTAGGACAGCAAGGGGCTGCAGGTTGAGATTGAGGGGCACCAGGGGGAGCCCAGGGCTGGGCTAGCAGGGGGCTGAGGGTCAGGAGTGAGGGGCACCAGTGCGGCTGGGGGGCGCTGGCCGTACCCCTTCACTTTAACATGGACTGAGGTTCCCCAGCCGTGGCCAGGTGGTGGCGGAGAGTGGCCTTGCCATGCAGTGCCCGCTCTCCCCCCAGCCCCACTCACCCTGGCACATGGGGCAGCACTTGCCGGGGGGACTGGTGGGGTGGCGACAGCCTGGCGGGTCGCAGGGCGTCTTGGTGCAGGTGACGAAGCCACGGAGGCAGGCGCAGCGGCCGCAGGCGTCCTGGGGGTCTGGGAACTCCTGGCCATCGAGGTAACCCTCGCCCAGGTACTCGCAGCCTGTGGGGGGCCAGACAGAGTGAGCCTGGTGCCAGGCGCTGCTGGGAGGGTGAGAGCCCAAGACCCCGCCCAGGGGCTGACCCACCCCCCAGCCCTGGCACTCCGGCTGGTGGAGCCCAGCACCCCCATGGGCTAGCCCAGCCCAGCCTCCACCCACGCCCCACGCCCAACCCACCTTCGCAGACCTGGCAGCACGGCCCCCGGGCAGGGAAGGGGCACTGGAGCAGCGGGCAGGCCCTGGGCTGGCAGGAGACGCTGCCCTCCCAGCAGGTGCAGACGCGGCACGGCTCCGTGGGGTCCGGGAACTGCTCCCCGTTGGGCAGCTCCTTCCCCTGGTACAGGCAGCCTGGGGGCAGAGCGGGCGATGGCACCGGGCAGGAGAGTGGGGCAGGAGCAGAGACGTGGGGCAGGGGCCGTGGGGAGGTGTTCCTGTTGTAGGAGGCAGCTGTCCTGCTGCAGGGGGGAGCAGAGCACGGGGCTGCAGAGGGCTTGGGGGGCCCAGCAGGAGACTTGGGGGATACCGTCACAGGAGCGGCAGCAGTCCCGCCGCAGGGGGTGGGCACAGAGGGCTGGGGCTGTGGGCCCCCACGGGGGGACTCGGGGAGCCCACCAGGGGGGTCGGGGGGCCCAGCCGGGGGCTTGGGGGGGGTACAGTCGCAGGAGCGGCAGCAGTCCCGCTGCAGGGGTGGGTGCAGAACACAGAGGTAGAGGGGGTCAGCAGGAGCCTCAGGGGATCCAGGGGGCCCAGGGAAGCCCATGGGGGCCCCAGCGGGACCGGGGGGCCCAGTGTGGCCCATGGGGGGCCCAGTGGGGGGGCTCAGGGGGTACCATCACAGGAGCGGCAGCAGTCCTGCCGCAGGGGGTGGGTGCAGAGAACGGGGGCGCAAGGCTGGCGCTGGCAGGTGACGGTCCCGTTGGCACAGATGCAGTGGCGGCAGGAGTCCGAGGGGTCGTAGAATCGCTGCGTGTGCTGGTAGGAGACGCCCGCGTAGAGGCAGCCAGCCGGGGGCTCTGGGAGGAGAAAGGGGCGGTTGAGGGGGTGCCGGGGATAGAGTGCCCGACACCCACAGGTGCAGCCCAGGACAGGAGGGAAGGGAATCCCCAAGTCTCAGTCCAATCCATGGCCCAGGGCTGGGACAGCAGGGGCTGCACATTGGGAGTGAGGAGCACTGGGGTGTGACGTTATTAATATGAACTGGGACCGTAGAGATCATTGTTGCAACCAAAGTCCTGTAGTGGCACCAAATCTTGTATTAAGGTGTCTTAGACAAGGTTATGGGTTGCTGATTATGATTATGCTGTCTATATGTGTGTATCATTTTTGTAGTTGAAGATATGAATATTGGCTCTATACTGTCTGTATTTCAAACTTCTGCAGTGCTTCTGGGTGACACCCCAGACAGTTTGGCCCCAGCACTGCCTAGCCTGCTTGATGGCCCATTAAGGACCATCAACTATACAATTGCCCCATTGAGAGAAGGCAGATACACCTTGTCACTCAGCAAAGTATGCAGGGACCTGCCTATGGACAGAACTCTGAGGTTTTTTTTTGCCATGTGTTGGATGAATGTCTAGGGAACAAAGAAAGAGAGGCCACATGACAAGAGACTATACAAAACTGCTGCAGCTCCTCCATCTTGTCTTAAATCCTTCTTCTTACCTCTGGAGGGACTCTGCTACAAACTGAAGCTCTGAACAAAGGACTGTGGACCCATCCCAGCTGTGAATGTACTCCAGAGACTTGATTTGAACCTGCAGTTTATTCTATCACTGCTACAAGCCTGAACCAAGAACTTTGCCATTACTGTACGGAATTAATTCCATTTAACCAATTCTAACTCTCATCTATATTTCTTTCTTTTTATGAATAATCCTTTAGATTTTAGATTCTAAAGGATTGGCAACGACGTGATTTGTGGGTAAGATCTGATTTGTATATTGACCTGGGTCTGGGGCTTGGTCCTTTGGGATCAGGAGAACCTTTTTTTCTTTTACTGGGGTATTGGTTTTCATAACCATTCATCCCCATAACGAGTGGCACTGCTGGTGATCCTGGGAAACTGGAGTGTCTGAGGGAATTGCATGTGTGACTTGTGGTTAGCCAGTGGGGTGAGACCGAAGTCCTCGATGTTTGGCTGGTTTGGTGTGCATAGAAACCCCAGCCTGGGGCTGTGACTGCCCTGCTCTAAGCAATTTGTCCTGAATTGATACTCTCAGTAGTGTCCCGCCAGAGGCAGCATCGTTACACGGGAGTTTGGGTCGGGCACCGGGGGTGGGGGCCGGGGCAGCAGGGGGCTGTGGGTCGGGAGTGAGGGGCACCGGGGGTTTGGGAGCCAGGGCAGGGGTAGCAGGGGGCTGTGGGTCAGGAGTGAGGGGCACTGGGGGTGGGAGCCAGGGCTGGGGTAGCAGGGGGCTGTGGGTCGGGAGTGAGGGGCACCGGGGGTTTGGGAGCCAGGGCTGGGGTAGCAGGGGGCTGTGGGTTGGGAGTGAGGGGCACC